TGAGTAGATGTGAATGGCACCACAGCCATGGTGTGCTGGGATTGCCAGGTGAGTTAGTCGGGGAAGTTGAGAGCAGGATGCTATGAATCTGCACCCCACACCTGTGTCTGGCCTGTGTTAGAGGCAGCAATGCATTTCAGTGACAAGTTCTAAGGTCTGTCTAGCCCTATGAATAACCATTGTCTCTCTTCCTTCCAGGGTCAACTGTTTCCAAATGGTCTTCTGCTTCTTTCATTTTTAGCATTAGTCCTTTTCTAATGGAACACAGGTTTAAAGACTGGCTACAAAGGAGGGCTGAAAGACTAAAATAGCATAAGGCCTCATTAACAGGTGAAATCTGGTCCAATTTCATTTAGGCAGTCAGGCAAAACCTTATAGATGGGAAATCCTTCCTCAACCCTGACTGTGCCAACCTGTTTGAAATAATAATTTTAAATTTATAGATGGCCCTTGATACACAGAGGGATTCATCAGGTGAAAAGATATAAATGCCTACATCTGAGCAGGGGTCTGAGGTCAGAGAAGAGACAGGTATTTTAGCCTGCAACTTGTTGAATTCTGAAGTCATCTCAGATAAGCTGGATGAGTTGTTCCTGAAAAGTGCCTATTTCTTCCCTGTGGTTGCACTGGGAGGCTGCATTAATTAGCCCTGACACAAAGCTGTCTGCCAGGTTTGTGTGTGGCGAGTCTCATCTCAAACATCAGTCCCACCTGCCTTGGACCTGGACCACTGCTGTTGCACACAGAGCTCCTTTCTGCCAGGTTAAAGGGAGCAATGACACCCACGAGCTTTGCACTTTGTGTTTCAGTGCGGGTCTCTTATTTAGGGCCACTTTGTTCTCCAGTAACTGTGGTAACCTGGCAAAATCTCTGGCCTTGATATTGAGAGTCCTGAGCCCCCACAGCTCCCATGCTGACTTCAGCCTAGCCAGCACGTATGAACACATGCCAGATGTTGCTGAACACAGGCATTCCTTTGTGGGAATACTGCTGGGCCATAGATACAAACTCTGCCCCACAGTGTATTTGAGTATTGAGGATTTATTTCTCATTTTGTTCCATGCCGTTCTGAAAGAAAAGCCTTTCCATGTGAGAGATATTCTGATTTAGTGTGACGACTTCTGCAGTGAGTTGTCCCTGTTTAGCTGGTGGAGCTACTCTGAGAACAAATATATTCATTCCTGGGAAAAGATCCACCAGCAGAGTCAATTTTATTTGCGAAGTTTGTTCATATAAATTAACAGCATGACAAACACCCAGAAGATAATGAGATCAGACCCATGCTGGTGGTTCCCTTGCTAAGGATCGCTAATCTCACAAGGCCATCGTTTGAGGATGAGAACTCACTGCAAAGCCTGGCTGACTTTACTTTCCATGAACGAACAGCATGCCTGTGCTTTGGTCGTCTCTCACCTCAAAGTTTTACAAAAAGTTTAACTTTGCCTTCCTACTGTATGTGTGAGTCTGAGCAAAATGCTTCCTTCCCTGCCAAAAGTATAACAACCTTTATCTGAAGCCCTGCTAGCTCTGTTTACCTCTGAACTCTTTGATATGTGGGTCTCCACACTTAGGTTCCTGCCCTTTACCACACAGCTCTCTGTTCTCTTTTGGTCTCAAAACACCTCTGTAAAATCAACTAACCAAGCAATCCCTCTTTCCTTTATCCCCATCCTTCGCTTCTCCTGGACTTCAGTGATGACTCTCATCTGACTTGGCTTACCTGCATTGTAAACCCTCCAAGGCAGGGAATGAATTTCACCAACAACTGAGTGACCAGGGCTATAGGAAGCATCCAGGGAAGCTAATTCTATGATGAGAACTAATATCACTCCCATCCAGTTGCCAGACACCCCACCTCTACTGCATGACACATGGCACTCCCTCTTGCTTTCATGTGTGGCTTTCGAGCTATGTAAACAGATATTATCAGTCTTATAAAATAATATTGCACAATAGCCATGGGGCAGTTTAAGCTGCCCAAGAGTTCTGATTGTTTCCTGTATTGTTTTCAGTGGAAAGCTTCTAGGGAAGCACTGGATGACAGCCTGAAGACAGGGAGGCTTCAGTAGCTGTGTAAATGTACAAGGGCAGAAGAAATTTCTTACAAAGTAATGCTAAAAACATCCTTCTAAAATCCTCCTTCTTTGACACGGTGCTGTGAAATTTTTGGTCTTTCATTACGGAAGAGAGTAAAGACACTGGAGATCAGTGTTCAACAATGTCAAACCCCAAGGAAATGTGTGTCAAAAGACAAAGCTTCAACAGTGCTGCAGAGATTTAAAAAAGGGAGGAGAATTTCACACTGCAAAGCTTGTGAAACTTCCTATTTTCAGCATGGTTCTTCCAAGAAGCCTTTTCTTAAGAAGGCAGGCTTCCCTTTAAATGTACTTTTAGAGCAAGCTAAAATCTGTGACATCTTTTGTGGGCATGCTGCCCATCAACATTGCTGCAGGAGTGTTGAGGGTAAAAACAATCTGATGTTCACATAAAAAAGGTGAAAATGTAACTCATCCTCTTCACAAACTACCATTCGCTGTTCTTGCCTGAGGCTTCATCTCTTCAGTAGCTACACAGTGTGATTGAACTGTACATTTACTTTGACTAGAGGGAAAACCCCACACCATTACTAAATCCCGATGCAGTAAACAGATTTCTGTGTCCTGAACATCTGGCACATCCAGTTACTTGTATTACTATCTCCCCAATTAGGATGCCCAGCACCAATCTAAGCTTTGTCAGCTGCAATGCTTGGGAGGGGTAATGCAAGAAGGTATCTGCAAACACAGGCAAGCCTTTACCAATGATATAGTAGGTATTATGGTCCCTTAAAAATTAACACATCTGTGATTAAGTATGGCACAGCACTAATTATCTCTGCTTTCCAGCTGAGGGCAGCAGGGGAGAGGGAGCATTCTGTTTATAGTATGGTTATGGATGTCTTTTCAAACTGCCACTCATCCCTCAGATTATGAAAATAAAACCCCATCTATGGGTGGGTCTCTTCACAACCTTTCTGTCAGCCCTTGCTTTAGTTCCCAAGCCAGAACTGAAACCACTGGGTGACAGATATGTGGGGCCTTTCCAACTTCAGCCATCTGGCTGGAGTTGGTTTCTTCAATTGCCTTCTGCTCAGATCAGATCTGGGGATGAACATGGGAACTTTTTATGTGCTGAGAAACTTTTTCAACTTCTGCCAGCATCTGACATCCACAGGGGAAATAAGCAGTAGAAAAGCCATGGTAAGTTAATGCCCATTCCTAAATCTTGAAGCATCTGGCCTTCCACTCCAATCCAAATCATAACTCAGTGTGACAATCCACTCATTACTGCCCCCAGTAAAAGTCCACAATCAGTCTGGTTTTCACACACACTCTTTTCAGCCACTGAATGCATGTGTGGATTTTTTCCCTATAGATTGCAATTCCAGAACAGGAGGGGTCACTCATTCACTAACTGTTACATGGATCCATATCCTAGGATGCCTCTTGGCTACGATCCTGCTAGAATGACTGGTCTCCACTGTGCTGCCAACTTTCATAAAACAATACAGATGGCAATATTTATGCTTGTTGAGTGGTCTTTGAAATGAATACGAGAGCGGCTCAGTAGCACCGGCTTTTACACATTTAACAGTTCCACTCCTAAAACCGGCACTTAGCTCTTGCTCAGCCAAAGCTTTCCCTGCTTTCCATGGGATCCCTGTCCCAGCACAGATTCCTCAATTTGGCCCCTAGACAAGATGTTTGATAACAGAGTTGATGTGTACTTAACGAGCATCAACAGTTTTGTTAATTCTAAGCACAGGTGGATCTGGATCTTACGCACTGGAGCTGTTCAGCTCTGATCTACCCTTACGGTTTGAAGCACTCAAAATGTAGACTAAACTCTTTTCTTGAGAGACAGGAGGCAAATTCTGGACTTGTGGGGCCATCCACCACTAAATATGGGGACATAACAGAACAAAGGGTCTCTTCTTTTGAGAACCCTCCCTTGTAATGGAAGTCAAATGGATGACAATCACCATGCAAGTTAAAAAAAGGCTTCACTCAGGGGAAGAAACTCAAAAGTAGGTCTTCATTTTTTGTGGGCACTATGGAATGAATGAGAGTGATGTCAGATGTAATATAACACTGGAGTGGAAAGCCTAAGAGAAAAAGACACGGTAATGCTGCACTAGCTAGTTCTAGACATGAGCTACCCATTAAAAGTAAGTCAAAACCCTCAACTTAATTTTGTGCATATGCCATCCCAGCCCCTGGCCTCTCTCTGGGCGTTTCAAAGCTGCAAGAGCAAATTTGTCTTCTCAGAAAATATCTCCCTTGGAGGCAAAGACACTGTGTGCACAAGAGCACTGGCAGCTTCCAGCAGCTTCCAAGCACTAACAGTTCCTTGTAAAAATCCCAGATGAAGTTTGAAGCTCCCAAGCTACAATAATCTTCATTAAAACCTTTCTTGTCTGATCCAGCTGTGTAGAAGCCAACTGACTGCCATAAAATGCCATAATTTGCTATTTTTGAATTCAGAAGGTGAATATGACAGAACTGTACTGGGATTGATTTGGTCCCTGACAGAACACACACCCTGGGCACAATCCAGAGGAAATGTGGCTTGTTGGTGAGAAAGTGAGTGTTTTCCCTCCAGGTTGCTGGCTCAAATGGGTTATCCTGGCAGAAGGAGGGCTTTGTTCTTCAGCCCTACCCAGCTTGGACTTTCCAGTTCAAAGCTCACAAGTAAAAGTGTAAAGACATAACATCTGATCTTGTCCTCATGCAACATTTCTCTGTGGGCAGCTCTGGGTGTTAGTGTGGCTACTACTTGTTTATGCTTGAGTGAGAAGAGTTTTCAAACTCAAAGAGCTCAAAAGAAACCTCTGCAGAAGTGTTTGTTTGTCCACAGGTGTTTCTACAGTGTGAGAAACCGACAACCTCATTTCCTGGTGTGGAGGGAACAGGTTGTCCATAGCTGTATCCCATGGGAAGGGCTCACCAACACACACTTACCTGACACAAAAGTACAAAACAACCGGTCCTGACTTTTTGGGGAAGTCATGTTCCAGCACTCGTCGGTCCAGCTGAAGCCAGTTCAAGTGTCCCCTGGCAAGAGAAGAGACAGTTTTGAGCCTGGCACCAAAGAGGTTTCTTGCTCCTCGTGGCAGTGAGGTCTGAGGTGTTACAAAATACGAGCTGAACCACCTGCTATTTGCCCTTGACTATTGCATGATATTTGAAAAACACACAGTAAATGTTTGAGAAGTGGAGGCGATATCATCCTGGCAGTGCTTCAGTCTGGGAATCAAACTGCTAAAGTTCAATCTGTCAGGGTGAAAGCTGGTAGCACTGAGCAGGCAGGACAGCCCAAAATGTTATAAGCTTCACCTTTTTATTACAAGCCCCTGGAGCAGTTGTATCATTAAAAGTCTGTCAAGATTTTCATTAGAAATCCTTATGGTTAAGAGTTTCCACAACGCCTGCAGTATTTCACTCAAGGCTAAACCTAACTCTACAGACTGAGACAGTTTATTTACCACCCACATGCCTGCAATAGCCTCTCTAGGTTTGCCCAGCCCTCTTTTTTCCTTCTTCAGAGAGCTCTTGAAAAACAGCTGCTCTGTGAAGCGTTCCAGCTCCAATTACCACATGCTGCTTTTCTTTTGCCTAGATGGTACCTGTCGTCATTATTTTCTCCTGTAATTTATCCATTCGTGCCTTGCTGCTGGAAGCTTTCCTGGGCAGGAACTCTGTTCTTTGTCACGTTCCTCGCGTTGTAGAGCGCTGTGTGTGTGTGTGAGAGGGACTTTATAAATACCATTATTTGTATTACGGGGGCATCTCACTCCCCTGCTGAGATAAAGGCCCTGTTAAATTAGGCACTGTGGAAATACCTAGGGTGAAATTCAGGCCCCACTGAATCTGGCCAGAAATTTGCCATTGCCTCCAGTGATGCTAGGGCTGCCTCCTGTGAGTTTTTTGCTATTGATTTCAGCCAGACCAGATTTCACCCAGAGGGAGAGGCAGCCCTTGCCTTTAGTGCTCTGCTGTCTAGACAAGCAAGGAGCGAGAGAATTGAAGTGATTTGGGGGAGAATCTTGCAGCAAATAAAGAAGGAAATGGAACTCAGATGTTCTGAGCTTTATTCCAGTGCCTATTCACCAGTTCATGCTAATCCTCAAGAATAATTCTTCATTCCACTGTAAATGAAAAAAAAAAAGCCAAAAAAAGGAGCTTGGTTTAAAAAAAGCCCAATAAATTAACTTTTAGAATTGCAACAAGCCTTAGCAATGTACCCTGTCAGCAAACACACTCAGCTTTCACAAGGGTCTGTCCGTTCCTCCTTGAAGGAAGCATGAGCATTGGGCAACTGAGAAGCCCCTTTGGAAAGTAGGCAGTGACATCTCTGTAGCAATTTAACTGGATTTGCAGCTCTACCCCTCCATCTTTCCTAGAAAAATAAATAAAGGGGAAAGCAGCAGTTTCAGCAGGCTTTGAATCACCTGGGTTCATTTGGAATTTCTGTACTGCTGCCCTGGTTTACATGGGTGCAGAAGTGGATGGGCAGCTCAGGGACCTTCCCCCCCAGGCAGCTCCAGGCTGCCCTGGAGACCATCTGGGACCCTGTGTGGGCTTACCTCAGCCAGAACACTGCTTTCCACTAAGGAATTCAAAATTACTGGTGAGCTCCACTCATCACTGCCATGGGTTCAGGATCAGACATCTACAAAAGAGTTCTCAAATTTTGCCATATAGAAGTCAGGTGTTCAGTTTAATCAGCCTTTGTCTCTGCTTTGCAAAAGTACTGAGTTTCAATGTGGTACAAGTGATACATGTGGAATCAGGTATTTTCAAACTCATCCTTGCACATCTTTTGATGTACAAAAGGATCAAAGCCTATTTTATCCCCTGCTGCAGACACCGGTGTGTTTCTTCCCAAGATATTTTAATTTTTAGGCAGGTTTTTTTCTCTAGATGAAGTTTTTGCATAAGTTTTTTCTTTATTTAATTTTCTCCTCTAGGTATAGGGAAGCCTGAACCGTGTTTTAAGGGCGCAGACTTGGTAGCAGCCTGCCTACCGTGAAGGGGTGATATCGTGCAGATTTTCAAGCCCAATTGGTCACTTCATATGTCTCTATTGCAGCTCATGGACTGAGGGAAGACTGCCCAGCCTGTGACAGCACTGGCATCAGGGTGAGGATGTCCATGCTAACTGGGCTGGGTGTAGGGACTAACCGGCCTGGCTCTAAGCAGGCTCCATAGCTGGGCACACAGCGCAGTGGGGTCTCCTTCCATCATTTCTGCTGCTGGCATGTAGCTGCCCAGTGCTACTGTAGGAACCCTGCATCATTCCCTGTTGTTCAGTACAGATGGGTACTTTAACAAGATTTGGTTTTTAGAAGACTGATGTTCCAGGCTGACAGAAATTAAGTCCCATTGAAAGATTTTCAGCCCACGCACCTAAATATTAGAGGTGTTTACATTTCCTGCTGCATCCCCCCTTCTTGAAATCTGTCCTTTTCCCTATTCTTCTTGTCCTGAAGCGCTATTTTGTTTCTTTTAACATGAGTCAGGAAGGCTGAAATTAGCTGTGAAGTACAGATGAGGATTGAAACTAGCCATGTTCACCCATTCCTAGCCAAAGGACAACCTGAGCATTTAACCACATAGGCCACAGTACAAAGCACTGTCAGAGCAAGGAAAAGCCACATGAAGCCTGACATCCTATCCTGAACCTGTCCAGTTCCATTTGTATCACCAAAGTAGCAGCCACCAGCAGCTGATGGTGTTACACACCAGTTCCCACCCAGGCAGAGTTGTTGACAATGGACTTACTGTCTACCTCTATGTTTATTCAACAGCAATGTCTGGCTTTGCCTAACATGCACAAGGAAGGGTTGAGAAGCCATGGTGCACAGCACAATAAATCACTTCAAGGTATATTTCTTATTTTGAAAAGACTTTTCTTTCTCACCGTGTTTTAACTGGAGAATCTGGTTGATATAATCAGTACAAAATGACTACCTGCATAGACGTGTGCATACCAGGTTACACGTTTATGTCCCACACGTACACGGTTGTGTGCACTGAATAACACATTTAATTGCCACTGAGTTTTTAGGCTGAAGAGTTTCATTACTCTCATCTGCATGGAGCTTAAATCCAAAGCTCCTTCAGAGGAGGAAGGTCACTTAAATCCCTACCAGGAGCTAACTGCTCACTGTACTCAATTACTACTTACAATCTTTCATCGCTGAGGGCTTCTGGACTGCAGACTGTCACCTAACTCCTTGTTCTCAAGTGTGCATGTGTGGCATGTAGAGAGCAGCAGTGAATAGTCACTGGCATCTGCCTGTGAATGTGGTCTATCGGGGAGCCAGACTCCGATGCCGTTACACCACAAAACTCTTGGCTCTGGAAGCTGTCCTCCTGTCGTCAGCAGAACTATTCATGGAGCACAGTCCCATGTAAGACAGAGAAAAGTATGGGCATATAACCCTAGGCATGTAGCAATCCTGACAATTTTCATGGACCGATTTAGGCAGCTTGCACTGGGATCCCATTCATACGTGCCTAAGTCTAGCTGGATTTCCTTCATGGTTCAATTTAGAGACACAAAGTAGCTTTTGTTTCATTATCACCATTGATTTGTTCGTTTGGGTGTTTGTACCAGTGTATTCACAAATAATGGTGTAAACAGTTTTGGGGGACCTATAGGGAGGTCAGATATTGGAAGCCAGATCATTTTCATCTGTTGGCTGTACTCATGTTGGCAGTTAAACTGGTGTGTCAACAACAACCACATAATTGCTTTTAGGAAAAGAAACTGGGTCCATTCAGTTTACAGACTGAGTATGGATTTTGGTGCCCAGGGTCCATATTGTCAATTTTGTGCAGTAGTTCTGTTTTCTTTTATCAGTAAAGTGTGATACATCAATGAGTACTTTGCCTCCAGGTGGTTCTGTTTATAGAGTTTTACTGGTTAGTGTCCAGTTTTCTGAAAAGTGGATCCACATTGATTTGTGTTATAAAGGTATTTAGACCAATAAACCAACTCACACCCCTTCAGTGTCAAACTCATGTTGAATTGAGTGGACACTGAGAAAGATCAATTCACATAATAGGAACCATATAAACTATTTTATGGTTTCATCAGTCGTGACAGAAACAAAAAACCCTTTAAGCTCACAGATCTTTTCAATTAAGAAATACTTTTGAAGAGGCTGAGAAGCTCAAGGAGCTATATGAGTTTAACTATACAAATTTTGGAAAAGAGTGGACTTGGTGATAAAAGAACTGGCCCAGTGCCAGAGCAGGGCGTTACTCTGAACGCTGCACCCTGCACTGGACCAGCTGTTCGACCAGGATGTGGGACACCTGCTCCCTCATTTTGGCTTTGCCACATGGCTGGAAGGTGGAAATAGGCTTCCTCCCAGTTCCCAGGGATGAGAGAGTATTCCAGGGAAGGGTGGTACCCTGCTGCCCCTTTGTCATCCCCTTGGCCAGAGGGTCCTGTGCTGAGCAAGGGCATCCTCTATCATTGCCTTATCATGTTAGTACAATCTCTAGATACAGGTAACATAAATATTGAGGGTCTCAGTGCCTTGCAGTTTTTATCATATGTATTAATCAGCTGAAGAAGCTGTTCTGCAGGTTCTCTGGTGAGGGAGCAAAAGGATTTGAGTCAGTTTTTGACTGGACCCACGGAGAGGGGGAGCTGTGGGATGCAAATGTTGGTAACTCTCCATGGAGCAGGTGACTCACATCTAAGGACAAGTAAAGGATGTGGAAAACCTGCCCAGGGCCCAGACGGGGAGTCTGCAGTGAACAGAAGGGTAATTCTGACCACTTGCTCTCAGTGAATGCTGGAGGAGCTGATGCCAAGGGAAAGGGCACTTAGCGGAGATTCATAACCAGCTGAACTAAAAAAAAAAGCCCTTTCCCCATTCCTTTTCAATTTTAATCAACCAGCATATTGCTCTTCTGGCTTCCTGTGAAGCTTGGCCCCACGTGCTGTACAGGGACACCCTTTTGACCTGTGCTCTCCCGCAGTTAATGGCTCACCATAAAGCGTTCCTATGATCATTAAAATAGAAGGCGTTATTCCCCCCTCCATAATAGTCTGACAATCTAATTTTAGTCACGCTGAATGCAGTAATGGCCCTATATTATCACAAGAAACTATTAAGTTGCCAACGCAAAGGTTGTTCCTATTGATTTTCTTCTAAGGTTGTCATGATAGAGCACAACTAATGAATGGAAATCCCCAGTACAAATAATTTCTAAATAAATTACTCTCATAGAGCTTTTACACTTAAATAGAAGAATTGATTTAATACTTTAGTGGCTTTTCTTCTTTCTAAACTTGCAATTTAGCCAACCTCAGACTACATTTATGAACCAGGCTTGTTCTGTTTTAGCTGGTTATGAGTTCCCTTCAAGTAAGGCACATGGAAATTCAGTGGGGAGTGAAGAGAATGAAGTCCCTGAGGGTCTGTGGCACAGAATTAAAGGATTTCTTTTCACGTGCCTGGTCTGTATCAGCTAAAGGGCTGTGTTAGGTGCCCTGCAAATACAAATTAGGGGACTATTTTTACTACTTTTTGGAGAAAGGGGATTTTTTATATTTCCATTTCACATTGCAGGTTAAGATCTGTCGTACAGACAGCCCAGTTTATTTTCTCAAGTTGACATGGAACATCTATTTCCAAGACCCTGTCCAAGGCCCCAGGTGTATTCTTTTGTCTATGTTCAGTCAAATAAAACAATTGCTGTTTGTGACAACTCTATTCAAAGCATTTTACAACTGAAGAAGAAATACTTTTGTCAAGGTTATTTTCACAGCACTGAAGAAGCCTCACTGCAAATGTCAGAGTCACAGTGGGACAGAAGAAGGGCTGCAGACCAGCTTCAGATCAGCTTGGACTTACTGGCTTGTTTCTGAGTTGCATTTCCTTGATTTAATGAGGGTGTCCCCAAAACTTTCCTGTGGGCTGGATGAGGATCTCCTAAAATGCACCCTGCTTTGTCTTGACTACAGGTCTGAAGGTGACCAGGAGAGTGGATGCCATCACCTAACCCTTTGAAATCCTGCCAGGGCAGAGCACATCCATCTGCATCCATTATGTATCTTCGAGCTCTGCCTCAATAGCCTCTATCAGATACTTGCACTTCCATCACTAACTCAGATCTTTGCTCACACCATTTGGAGTTAAACCTGGAGGCCCCAGGGAAGCCTGGGCTCTCTCTAATTGACACCTCCTCATTAGCTTCCCTTGCACTCCCAGGGGAGCCCTGTGCCCTCACAGGTCAACTGAGAGCTGGGACTTGCTCAGCTGCTCTCTGGTTACACTCTGACATGTGTCTCGTTTCTCACCTGTGCTGTCAGGACTGTTAAGGGAACATTTTCACCTCATAGCGTGCTTTGGCTTCTCTGGTGGTTTTCCTGCACCCCTCAGGCAGCACCCACTGAGTAACTTGCTCTCTCCAACACAGAATAAGACTGTGGTAAGAGCAATTTCCTCCTCCTGCTGTATAAATGGTCAGTGCCTCCTGCTGTTCCTCCTTGGAGGATCAGTCTCATTAATTTGTGTTGGGTTGGAGATCTCCTACAGGGCTGAGTTGCTCATGTCCGTGAGTTGGGATGGGTTCTGGGATTTGGGTACTGTGTCTGCATGCGCCTGATGCTGAGTGTTCCTCCATCCTGGGAGCTGTGTCCTGAGATGGCCTCAGGCTGTCCAAGGCAGGCACTTGCCAAAGGAATTGACTTTAGAGGGGTGCTTACTGCCGAGATGAATGAGGATATGTTTGTGTAATTATCCAGCAGCCTCTGATTACCCGATCCCGAATCATTATTCCAGCAGATGATTTACATCTCCCTGCTACTTCAGCAGAAGAGCAGAACTGGCTCATGACAGCAATACTGCTGACTCAGCTGTTCTGGAGGCACAGCACTGGCTTGAAAATCTCGGGTTTTTAAAATGATACTTCCTGAATATGAATATTCCTGATTCATATACAAAGAGAAAACCCATTGCACACCGAGGTGGAGTAGGTGGGTGTGCATACAAGGCATAGTCCATATGCAAAGGACAGTGTAAATCCTGAGAGAAAACAGACAGCTGGAAAAATGTAGCAGGGATTGTGCAGTAGCACTGAGGGGTCACAGCCTAGGACTAATCACAGACTTTGGCAGACCTTAATGCTTCTCCAGTGCTAATTTTATTCTTGCCGTTTAATCAGGGGGTGGATGTGGCCTGTCTTGAGACAAACCCTCAAATTTTGTGGTAATTCGAGGACTCTGGGAGCTGTTGTTCTAGGCAAACTACCAACATTGAGGTGACTGCAGTGTCAGTGTCCCATCCTTTGGTTTAGTTCAGCCATAAGGCTGTTGTATGATTCCTGGTGAGGTCAAATCCTTTCCATGATGGAAATTTTATATTTAAAAATGCTTTTAATTCATACTAAATTTGGCAATCCCTTCCTTTCCCACACTTCCTTCTTTCTTTTTATTTTTAAGAAACTTGAATCTGGGATTTAAAACATCAGAAATAGTAGAGTAATTTTGTGAGGTTGGGTTTCTTTTTTTCCTTTCCTTGAAATAATATAGCACCACTTTTAAGCCTGCTTGAGTGAATAAACTGATTAACACTGACTGAACCACCAATCTGGTAATGATTTTGAACTAGTGAGTGGATCTTAGATCCATGAGAGCTTAAGGTAACCTTTTAACAGTGGCAAATGACTCCAACTCTTTGAACATGGGGTTAGGAAGGGATTGTTACTGCCTCTGTTCACCTCCAGCCATACTTAACTTGCCATGAGAGGTCTCTAGCCCTCTGAGGAAGGGGCAGTACACGACAGACTTTGATGTGAGGGCCATGCCCTTCTAGACCTTGGTCTAGGACTTTGGGTTGCACAGTGTTTCTATGCTGGTTGTTTTGCTTAGGACAAACCCAACAAGATTTTCTGATATCTAAGAGTTGCCTCTTAGGTCTTTGATTTCTCACACTTACGTTTCATCTGTGAATGCAATTCCAAAGTACTCCTTCTCCTTCAGGTTGAAATGAGATGCCACCAAGTCAAGCAACTCCTTGGCCAAAAGCTTTGGCTGGAAAACAAGAATGAAAGAGATTAATGAGGAGAACTTGGATAGAACTGCACTGTGCTTCTGGAGGAAAACACTATCCTTGAAGACACTCCACAGCTGTTGCTTTTATGTTCTCTCTGGTGTTCAAGGTAAATCTGCAAGGAACATTAGCCCCTTGAAATGAGCAGTAGTTTCCCTCCCAGGTAAATAATAAAAACCTGGCAATTCTGACCTATTCAGTGCTTAATGTTCCTGCAGACAGATGACTTGCTGCCTGCCAGTGCTCGGATCTACCAGGACCAGCTCCCTCCTGCCTCTCTTGATAATTTTAGTTGTTAAAGCTTTTTATCAAGGACCTTTGCAAACACATTTCAGACACCCACTCTCTCACACACAGCATGGATATATGCTCATAACACTAACAAAATACATAGTGCCAAAAGATAGGATGTGACAGGACCAAATGAGAAGTAAATGACAGAACAAAATAGTTTCCCATTCACTATTGCTTGTCATATAGAGATAAGGATATATCCTCAAATTTAGGCACAAGAAGGACAGGAAAGTAGCACACATGTTAAAAATACCATTTGTAAGAGCATAAAAGCCAAGCTCAGAGAAACAGGGGATGGTGCATTACTACCTTTTCTGCAAAATCTTATTTGTCTTTTAACTCCAATGTGTCCTTCTGCCTCTATGAATTTTCCCCAGCTCTGCTGAGCTCCTGTGTTTCTGACCAGACTTCTGAAGCCTTGGCCATAACATAGCTGTTGTCCTGACTGTCACTGGTCAGAAACAGGGGTTCAAAGGATCCAGGTGCTGCAGCCTGCAATAGCCCCAGATCCCAGAGCTGCAATGGTTACAGCAGCACTGGCACAGCTGGGGTCAGAGATCCCAACAATGTTCCCTGGTGACTGCTTATAAGGATTTGGTCTACAAATCTCTGTGCTGCAAGCCTCAGGGAAAATAAAACTGTCTCAGGCTTGACTGACCCAACCAGTCTGCCAGGCAGCTGAGTCAGTTACCCCAGACATGAACCTGTTGTTAAATGGAGGTGAAATGATGGTGCTGTGCAAAAAATGAGTGTCGAGGACCTGATAACCCTGCTGTCCTAATTGACTGCCCTGTCCTGTAAACACAAACACAGCTTGTATTGAAAAAGCCCTGATTTGTACTTTAACGCCCGAACAGACTCATAAGACTCTCAACCTCTGAAAATGTTCCTAAACCCAGCACTATCATAGTATCTGCAATAGCTGAGACTTTCCCTGTGTACTTCCCTGGCATTCATATGAGTGTCACACCATTCTGCACCCACCCATCTCCCTGCTCTCTTCTAGTGCAGTTACAGCAATGTCTGAACTGCCCCTCTGGGGCACCCAGTGCACAGGGGGTCTCTAGGTCATTCCAGCAAAGAAAGAAGCAACAGCTGTGCCTAAATGCAGCACTGACTTAAAGAAGCCTCTGAATACAAAAGAAGTTGCTGTGTAGGAGGAACAGGCTGGCAGATAACAAATAGGTGGGATGCAACCAGCCTAATTTGAATTCCCAAGTCAGACTTCTCAGGCGCGACTGTTGGAGTCTCTGCTATGACTTTACTGCCAGCTGCATTGACTTTCACTCCTGAATCAGCTCCCACATAGTGCTCAGAGATGAGCAGACCAGGCATGAGGTCATGGTCAGATCCCCTGTCCCCTTAAGTCCCTTCAGGGACCCAATCCAGACTTTCTGGAGACTCCTAAGATACTTCTCTCCTGACATTGTGCTGGGTGAGAGGGACATTTGCAGCATCCCTGTCTCCTGTAAGATGAACTTCTCTTTGCCAGAGCATTTGAAGAACAAACTACAGTTTGACTTATGATATACAAAAATACTGTGGCAAAGAGGATGGTAAGACTGCTGGTGGATTCAGAGATACACAGGCTCAGTGCAGGTGGCAGGTTACTGTGGGGTGTAGGATGAGTTTTCAGCTTAACAACAGACAAACATGCAAAGACTTATAAAGGACAGAGAGGAAGAGGGGTTTGAGCCTGTCAGTGTGTAGTTTGAAGCTGTGCTTTTCCCCCAGTCCTGTCCAAGTCTCCCTGCTACTTTCTCTCCTGGTTGGGCCGAATTCTCTCTGCACCAGAAAGGGATTTCTTCCCAAGCCAGCACTACCGCAAGAGGATGGGTAGGAATGCATTGCAGGTCTGACTCCTCCATGGCCAAGGCCAAAGTGGGGACAGTTGGTGGAGGCGAATCCATGTCTGAGGGCATTGCAGGCTGCATGGCTGTCACTGCCTGGCACCCAGTGCTCTGGGATGACTCAGTTATTTGATAAATGAGCAATTGTGCTGCCAAGCAAGGGAGTGAGCCATCAGTGTCCCACCTGAGAGGGCAGGGGTGGAGAAGGGTGGTGAAACAGCATGACTCAAACATAATAGCATTTTCACAAGCCTGGCTTGAGCACTTGGAAGGAATAGGTTGAGCTTTCATATTTCACAAAAAAGCAGAACAGAGCAATAAAAAGCTGATGTGCAACAGGCTTCCTGTGGACATGGGGGAGTGATGGGTCCCTCTGCTCCAGTCAGCCAGCAATGCCACAGGGGACACTGTCAAGGGGTAAAATCCCCTTCTGCTGTTCAGCCACCTCATGGAGAAGTGATGCCCAGCATCCCTTGCCTCACGCACGACTGCATCCAGCCCCAGCTATCCAGTGGTGAGCAATACCCAAAGGTACCTGCCTTCAGCCACCCTTCCCAGACAGGACGGGTAAATGCAATGTGCTGCTTCCTTATTTCTGCTGAGTGAGACCTGGATGATGAAAAAGCCGTGGAGAGATGGTCAGCTTGGTGTGACAGCTTTCCCTTCTCTAATGACCAGTAGTGAATGCTACTCTCCCAGCACAGCCCCACTCCTGCCCCTGGGGCTTGGCAGAGACACTATTTCCAGTGCCCTTGCTGTAGGGCCTCCTCCAAAGCCTGTGGTAGCAGATAAGGCAGGATAACCCTTTGCCTTGCAAGATAAGGGGAAAGAACAATAGATGCAGACCCAGCACTGGAGCAGTGCCAAGTTAGTTACTGGGCCAGAGTCCCTGAAGAGGCTTATGAAGCAGTGAAGTTAAGCCCTGCTAGTCCCCTTCAAGATTACTTTCCTCTCTACCCTTAAGCTCTGCAAGGTTATTGTCCTTTCCCTTGGGATGACTCCTGTGTCCTCCCAACACAGACAGGCAACCTGAGTCTTTGGAGGGGAGAGAAGGAAAAGGCGTCTTCTCCAGGTAGTAAATACTCCTCAAGACAAACTTGCACAGCAGGGATAAGGCAGGAAAACCCAGCCGGGCACAAGCTGAGCAGCAGCCTGTCCCGATGTCCCAGGAGAGCCCCTCTCGCTCGATGTTAACGGTTAATCTTCTTGCCATTCGCGATGGGAATGGCTGAGCAATGACCTCCTTTCATGTGAGCTGCACAGACAAAGAGCTCATTAGCAATGCCTGTGGCAAGTTGTTTTAATTCATTATTAATTTCTGGACTTCATTTTCCGGAGGGATATTCGTTTTGCGTTAATAAAACTTCCGTCACAGACACATTGAAGAAGATGGGGACCTGGTCTCTCAGAGCAGGGAAGTCAATAGAAAGTGGGACCAGGACCTTCTGCATTCAATACAGCTGGCTGGTCAGCAAGATAGCTTGTGCATCTCACAGGAATAAATTAGAGTAACAGGTGGCATTCAGCCTAGAATCTGAACTGTGTCCTCAGTGATGCAGAGCTGGACTGTTGTGCCCTGTGAGCTGTCCAGGCAGCTGTGGAGACCCCTCTGCATCTGCTGCTTTTCATCTCCTTCCTGGAATCCTCCATGTAACCTCTATCACAAAACGTGCACTGTGGAGCATGTCAAGAGCTGCAGCTGGATGGCCTGAGCTTGGGATGGGGAACACCAGCAGAAATCCTTCAGCTGGAGCGGGGAGAGCTGATCATGCTTTGCTTGTGGGGTGGGTTTGACAGAACAGCATTATTCAACCAGGGAATGCCCTGATGCTCCTTCCCACTACAGGACCCTCTTTGCAGAAAGGCCTGTGTAGAACAGTGCACTGTAAATCAACTGTTATTGTTACTAGAGAAAACAGCAGGGACCTGGTTGTGGTCCCAGCACAATGGAGCTTTGGCCCTGGGGGAGAAGATCCTGCTCCTGGTGAGCTGTATAGTGGAGTTTCTGGCACAAACACCAGCCATTCATTAGCCAAACCCTGTCCCTGAGCCTTCTCTGCATGGCAGCAAGACAAGTGCTTTCATGAGTCTGGGCCCCTACCTGTACTTCCCAATTCCTACTCCAGCCTGGAATGAGCAACACTTTGCAGATTGAACTTTCTGGATTTGAAACCATGACACCTTCCACAAAACCTAATACCTCAACAATGGGTCACTGGATCCACTTGCCAGGCATGATGGCACCAAAACACTGTCCAGTGGATTCCTGATCCTCTGTAGAGTGGTACAACTCTTTTGTGAAATCAACCCTGACTTGGGGACATGCTGAGGTTTCTCCCTTCCCTCTCGGAGAGTCAGAAGAGCAGAGGTGGACTCATTAGAGGCTGCCTCCTTATTAGCAGAACGACCCAGACACCGTTCCCTGATGCCTGGGCCATGCCTGAGGTTTGTCTGAAATGCTGCCTTATGTCCTGGATCCACAAGGCCTCAGCAGCAAAGAGCACGAGCACATGGCCAGGGCCCTCTGCAACCCCAGATCCTGCAGGCTTGAAGCAGTGAACTCATTCCCTCTCTCCCTCCCCCAAAAGCAGCCAAAGTTTGTTCAAATAATGACTTAGAGGAAAGGAAGAGCTTTATTAGTGGTGTCAGGAGGTGGCAGGAGAAGAGCTGAACCTCAGTAGCAGCTCTGTACCTTGAACGTACCACCAAAAGATTATGAAAAGGCACCAAAGGCAGTGCAAGAAGGTCCATATGAGATCACAACTGGCTGACTCTCCCAGGCTTGTCTCCCTGCATTTCCCTATAGCTTAAAGAGCCCCCTCCACACCCTACACTGC